ATCACAACAATTTTTAAAGCATAAGAATTGAAGCACGGTTTTACACAGTGCAGATTGGAAGTGTGGTTGTTGAACTTTCCTTTTTACTTTTTTTTAATATAATCACTGTGTTATGAGGACACATGGCAAAGCAATAGCAAGGTGTGTAGAGGAACCTTAAGAGCAGCATACAAAGTCCTACATGGACAAGGGAGCGTAAGTTCTCAGTACCAGAGCCGGGAGCCTGGGTGAGCTCTGATCAGAGTTACAAGGCTGGTCTTAGAGTTCTGGTTTGCATAAGTGCGGTATGGCTTTTGTACCTCAGGAATGAGGAAAAACAGAGCAACTATGTCTGTGATGAGCCGAAAATGACAGGTAATGCAAACATCTGCAAGAACTTCAGTAAAATACCTGCAAAATATCCACCAAAATAATGAGCAAGATTTAAAAGTACCACTTCACTTACTACTGACTCCCAGTTAGATGTCTCAATAGATACCCAGCAGCGCTGCAGGACGTGTGGGCCTGGGGTGGAGTTGAGCGTGAGTCAGCAGTGCTCCCTTCAGGAGATGAAGCCCACCCAGCTGCTTGAGGGGAAGGGGTTCTCCCCGCCTTGGGGCTCGCCACGTGTCTGCAGTCCTCTGTCCAGCTGCAGGTTCCCCCGTGCAAGACATCAAAACACCTGAGTGAGTCCAAAGGACGAGCACAGGAGGTGCCAGAAAAGGCTGAGGGAACTCTTTTCCCCAGAAAAGGGGCAGGTTAGGACAGGTATAACCGCAGCCTAACAGCTACACAGAGGCAGAGGGGGACTCGGAGACTCACAGCAAAAGAACAAGAGCCTGTGGTCACAGCCCAGAGGGAAGTTCTGATGAGCTATAATGAAAATATCTGCATGGTGAGAAAGGTGAAGTACTGGAACAGATTGCCCAGAGAGGCTGTGGTATCTGCATCCACGGAGATATTCAGAACTTGACTGGACGATCTGGTCTGACTTTGACGTGAGCTCATCACTGAGCTGGGGTGGGTCAGACAACCTCCAGTGATGCCTCTAACCTCAGGTGCTCCATGATTCTACGTTTACTGTTTTGGATGAGGGTCAGGGTGAAAAAGCAAAGCTGAACCTAGTGGTAGATGCAAAAGGGATTTTGTACTAAACAATTAGAAGTGTTTATTGCCAATATTATCGGCAGAAAGAATAATGAAGAATGATAATTTAGCCACATACAGTAGTTATTTTTTGGAAAAGCAAAGATTTATTTTGCATAACATTTCCAGAGCTGTTTCAAGAAGCATCACTTTTGTAACAGCCCTTCTGGAAAGTTACCCTCACCTTTAACGCCGTTTGGCTATGCATTGTAACTGTCAGGACTTCCACGACAATGAAATGCTTCAAGTTATAAATTCTGTCTTTCAGAAAGATTTCTAATGAGAAGTTAGAAGGACTTAATTTTGCAATATGCAAAAGCAGCATGGTTCGAAGACGCTAAGCATTTATAATACACAGGTGCTTTTCTCCCACATGCGCAGGAAACAAATCTTTTATTGTCGCAGAGCTAACCATGACGTTCTGTTTTAGAACAGTACCACAAATACTGTCATTATAGTCACAGCACATGGTGAAACAAACATAACTAAGTTTGAAACCAAATGCTCAAGTCAGGGAACAGCTCCTAAGTAATGTTTCGTTTGAGATCCCCCAAATGTCAACAGATACAAGATGAGTAACAGCCAGCCTGTTTTCAGCACCCTCCAAGGGCTGCTGATGCACAGTGGGTTGGCACGAATGCCCCAGACATAATTCTCATCTCATGCAGCAGTCTATACCACATCAGAATAGGTTTGAAGTCTGTGGCAGAACTGGAGACCAAAGCCAGGGAGCAGCTCGCTGGCAGCAGAGGGGGATAAAGCCGGCAGGAGGCAGAGCGTGTGGCAGTGCCCAGAGGGTATCTCTGCGGCGCGGTGCGGACCAGGCAGGTACCACACATCCCTAAGTGGCACTTCGGTTTGTCGGTAGGGCTTTGACAGCAGATGTCGGATGAGGGCGTATCGGCTAGGCTCAGAAAACATTCCAGTTTTGTTGGCTTCACATGCCTGTCAATTTTGACAGTCTATATCAAGCGACATTATCTCCTCAGCTGGCGCAAGCAAACTTTACCCAAACCGAAGCCGAGTACAGCCAGCTGGGCCAACGGAGGAGGCAGTCTGAGCTACGCACCGCTCACAGCAGATGTTCGCATGGGGACTCGGTACTTCAAAAGCTGTATGTCCTGCATTAATCACTGCATACTCCAAATGTGGGCATACCTCCTGTTTGGAAACTTAGAACAGCTTTTTCTTTTTTAAAGAGATAGCTCTTCATGTGACATTCACATTGACATAGTATTTATGAGCCATAGAGAGTACAGTAAGCCTGTGTACTCTGACTGTTTAGCAGCATAGAGCATTATAGACAACTTCTCATTTGTGTGCCTTCAGTTTAGTTCACATTTAGGACAGTGAAGCGTCATATAACAACCACTCGGCACAGAATTCACCGGGCTGTTGTACCACCTTTGTGTCAGCCATGCTTAGTAGACTGCAAGCAAGCAGGTACTACACACACACATTTTGAAGTAAAAGTCATCTAAAACACAGCAGCAGCATAATGCCGCAGAGGAGGAAAATACCTGTTTGAGCCACACACTAAGAATGTAAATGAAACAGCCTTATTAGAGTGCCAGAGAACTACATCCACAAGCGGGAGCGGGACCAAGCATCTCTTTTTGCATATCCAGCCACCTCAGTGTACGAGTCAAAACAGAAGACTTTAAACACTGATCAGCTTCGCAGTTCAGCCAGCACCTCCATGTGTTTCAGCTAAAATCCTGACACTGGAAGACAGTTTTTGCATTTGCAGTCCTTCTCCCTCAGACTTCATCTCCTCTGCCTTTAAGACAGCACTGTGAATTTCGCCTTCTACTCCCAGGAACGCATTCCTAAGCAAATCGTTAATTGAGTGGCACGTACAAGTCTCATTACTGTGATGTTCTAAACCCAGTTGCAAGACATTGCACATTGCAACAGCCAAGTTAAAAATTAAGGCAATTTTAGTTATGTGAACCAACCATTCCTTCAGCCAATTCAAGCTACTGAAGACAGCTCTTTTAGATTGTCTTAACACACAAAAGAACAATTTTGATTTCCCAAACAGAAATCTTAGAAGCTAAGTTTCAGCACAAAAATGTTTTATTAGTAAACTGTGATAATCCCTAAAATCAAAGACAGTGATATAATACTACTGACAATATTAGCATACAAAGAAAATAGCATTAGCTTACTGAGAAAAGAAAATCAACCTGTTTCATTTTCTAGAGGCTCCTACACAGAAGTGAAAAATAGATCTGCATCAGTAACATCCTGCATCTGCTACCGAGCGTGAAGTTGATTCCGTTAGGATTTCTGCCAATGTTTCATCACTCAGCACTGGCTGGGATCTTCAAACGTTCTTACACTGGTATAGAAAGTAGAGTGAAATATGTATCAAATAAAATTCCTAAATGTACATAAAGCCAGCTTTATAAAGGTGGGTAAGTCTGCACAGTAATTTAAAGGCACTTGAAATAACTGCCTCTGTAACTCGGTCACTGCAATTACATTTAAGACAGTAGCATAGCCTGTAATGATCTTTCCATATAAATCAAGACGTCAAAGCCATTGTTACAGAATCTCTGCTGTAACTCAGCACTTACTGTCCTCCCCTTCTACGACAGAAGTTTTAAAGGAAGCCCATTCAAAATACCAAGACAGACAGATCTCCTGCCCCAGGGGAAAAAGTCTTTCCCAGAGGTAGAAAGTTTAAAAACTTCAAAGCCGATTCCTCAATTGTAACTGATCATTGCATCTTTCCTGCTGCTCCACCCCCCCTCCCAAGTTACAAAATAAGGTATCCGGACCACTTCATTTTTAGATAGATTCAGAGAGCTCTTTACTATTCAAGTACTATGCAAAAGCCACTTCTATAGCATTTAATGCATAAGATAACAGCATTTAATGAATAAGAAACCCTTAAGGGTACAAGTATCGGGAAATAAGTAGCAATTAACATTGCAAAGCTTTGTGTGCTGGAAAACCAGCAAATGACTTCCCCCAGCTGGACTCCCTCTTCAGCTACCCTCTCTCACGCTGCGGCGCAGGCTCCTCTCGGACCTCCTGGCCACGCAGCAGCCCACGCCAGAGAGCTCATCCTGCGCGGTGCTAAGCCCCTGCGTCAGAAACAGCAGTGATCACTGTACTAGATCAATGCTGCAGTGCCAGCAAGGATTTTTTAAAAAAATGTTACAGTGTTAAGGAACACGAGCTGGGTACCTGAGTCACTTCTGACATTCCACAGTCTCACAACGGATTACATGAAGAGATGTTTTCCAACAAAACAGTTTGCCATTATCTCCAGAGTTCAGACAACCCCACTGGGGATTTTCACAAACCATAGCAGGAAATTAGAACTGTCAGGTTGGAAAAAATCTAATATAATAAATACAGCGAATACAAGAGCTGGTTCAAGTTTGCAAGACTATATAATTTATAGACTCTAGTGGACCACAAAAGTCCAGCTTAATGTGACTGCCCTATTCCTACTATTGTCCTCAAATACATTCGGGTCTATTGAATATCTGCTTACAACTTTACATCTTATCCCTAAAATCATTTTATGACCTGCTATGTTGAGGTTGGTTTTATAGCCATATGGTATATTTGCTAGTAAAATTTCTAAGCTGACCAGCATTCAGTGTGCTGGAGAGTAAAATTTCATCAGGACTGCTTTCACAACAGACAGAAAGTTGAGCTTCGGGCATGAACCCCAAGATACCCCAGAATATTTGATGAGTGATCAATGAGGACACTGCTCCATATATTTTTGCCTTTTTAAAGTATAGAGAGACAATTAAAAGCATCGTTTTGCAATTATTTGTAGTGATTATTCACAAGAGACCAACACAGTGAAGTACATTGGACTACCAAACACTTTTCATGAATTTTCCTACCTTATCTGCCATTATCATGGAGGCCCCACCATGGATTCCAAGAATTGGAATAGAAGTCTGAGAAGAAATAAAATCCAAAATCTGAGCTACTGCCTCCTGATCAGTATCATCTCCAAAAACCACTCCATGGATCTTGGTGCCGGACATCAAGTCACAAACATGTGTTATGATGCTCTTGGGGTCAGTCTGGTTCACCAGAAGGGTCACTACATTGACATCAACAGTCAGGTCTGCTGACATTTCCCTGGTCCAGAGAGCTCTGATATCTCTCTCTGTGATATACTTGGTCCTCCCCAGAATCACTGCAATGTTCAGGATGGGATAAGTTTTCTCCGCTCCACGAACCAGATCCAAAGGCGCCAGAAGAGCTTGGAGTACCAGGAGAGCGCAGCCAATTTTCCTCATCTTTGCCAGCGTTATCCCCTGTAAAAGTGATCACATTGTATGACAGAAGCAACAGAGAGGAAAAAAATATATACTGTATATCTCCAATGAAGGTTTTAAACAGAAAGCTTCTGGACACAATGCAAACTTTCGCAGCCTTTTATAATGCATTCTTCACCTTCGTTTCAATTCAAGCCTCTTGTATCCCTTCAGAAAGTTGGCTTGCCAATGACAGCATTACAGTTGGTCTCCTGCAAGCACCGCAAAAACTGTAGCACAAGTTCAGAGGAAAGACCCATTAGAATTCTTCCTGGATGGCCAAGGAAATTAAAATTACTGACGTAACGAAAAAAAGACGTTATCATCCTTCTCTTTAACCCTGCCATCCTAAAACAAGAAAATCACAAATCCTTTTTCCTTTGTCCTGAACATCTGTTTAAAATATAGTCGCAGTCTAACAGGAAGAGGTTCTTTAGCTCAAAATGAGAGCAGCGAGCCAGAGGTCTGCTGGAAACTCCAGTCTGTATACTCCATACATTTCACAGCATCCCAGAACCATGCCGGTTTATTTCTGAAGATCTCTCCCAGACAGCTGCTGCTCCAGCACAGTCTATGGCATTTCTGGAACAGATTTGGAAGCACAATATTCTATCTGAATTCTTCTCCCTCCTCTCACGTGGCATTCACTTGACCGTCTCTGAACTGCTGATCTCAGACACAAAGTTGTCACTGGTGCTGAAGGGGAGGGTGTTCCATAAATGAGCATCACTGCACTGGTTTACTTCACGTCTTTGCTGAATCTCTTTAGGGGGCTGAATACAGACAGGATGGGGAGCGAGAGGAGCCGCAGGAGGGATCTGAACTGTCTGAAGGAGGGAGAAAAGGGAGAGCAGGTCTGACTCTGCAAGATCTGCCGCTGTGCCCCGGGGGATGTCCACCCCCGTACCTGGCTCCCTGCTAGCTGCAAGCAGGGAGTCCCCGCGCCACGCAGCGCCCAGCTCCTTGCGAGGCGTCACGCACAAGACACTAGCAGGGCTGCCCAACCAGGCTGGCACCCTTTGCGACCCCCCCTCACCCCCCC